TCGAACAAGGCTGACCCATACGATTGTAACAGGCCTCTGCTGCGGGCGATGGGTCCGATTGGGTATCGATGCAAATGGCGAAAAACGTTCCAGGCCTAGGCTTCGGTGGCCTCGGACTAGCAGCAGCCAAGGACTGGCCAGTCGAAGCCGTCATGCCCGCGGGGACACAATGCAAAGCCGGCGCGGACGGTCAGACTTGTCTCATCCGGTGCCGCAATGCCGCTGCTGCCGGTCCCTTCGGATCTTGTGCCGCCGTCACCCAAAAGAACTAATCTCCTTGTTGTCTCATCAATATATCTGCACACACTTTTAGCCGCTGCGACGTACACGGTTGCTAATGTGTCTCCACTTCGCCCAGCGAAAATGGGAAGGGCTCTTCTGCGTTCTGCTTCGATGTAATCGCGACAACCTTGTACTGCTTGCCCATGCCAGACGTGTCGACGAGTCTTTCTGCCGAGGCAATCATCTGTTCTGCTCGGTCATCTGTCGCAGTCTGAAGTAAGCGCTCGAGTCTTAAGCCCAGGCCGAGCGCGAGCAGGAACGACCGTTGTGTTTGTGTACGCGAGCACGTTGCTGGGCAAAGATGAACACCGTGACCAAAATTGCGCTGATCGACCCACCATACGGCTGAATGGACTCTCTGATCCATGAAAAGTCAACGTTGGCTGTCAGATCGGTGTTGCCGGGATCGGTAAAGCAGTCAACGACTTCATGCTTGCGAAAGCCCTATCTGCTCGTCAGACATCAGTGGCGGGAAAGGTTATTGGCCTACTCGAAGAGAATCGCTGAAATAGTGGTCGTCACCATAATCGATGATGAGGGCTGCGCCGCCTGCCTTGAGTTTGGCCTCGATCAGCGGCGTCGGCGCCGTATCGGTCGGATGCGCGGAAACGAGTTTCGCTAGCTGGGCGGCGATAAGTAACGCGTCCGGACAGAGTTCGATACGGGTACCCGTCGGTAGCTTAGCAAACCGCTCCTGCGTGCTGTACATCGTCGACGTGAACGTCGGCGACGGCGACAGCGCCAGGTGAAAGGTTGCTGAAGCCCTGCAGTAGCACGAGTCAGATTGGCAGATGGAATTCTGAGCCATGACGTACTCCTCTTTGTCTGTAAAGTCGACATAGACCTCCCGCAGGCCATCTTCAAGCTTCTACTGATGACAGATGAGCGTTCGCTCAAAGCGCTGCTCGTGACGTGCCTCAAAAAGCATTACCGGCAAGGCATCAAAAAATTCGTGCGCGATTGCCATTGTGAAGACTTGTGGATCTGCCTGATACATTCAGCAAGGTATGGAAGCAGCATGATGCGGCGAGCACTTGCCCGGCGCAATGCCGTCGAGCCTGTCGTGCCAGTGTAGCTTGACACCAAGCGCCTCGATAAGCTGCTGTAGCTTCTCCCGCTGTAGACCGATCATGTATTGGGATGTTTCGACGAGATGGACTTCTTCGAGCGTTGAAGCAAAGGTCTTGATGCTGCTGAAAGTCTGTCCCATGGGGTCAGCTTGGGCGCGATCTGACGCGACGCACTTTGCTGTACGCACCCTGAGGATGTCTTGCATCAGTGTCCCTGTTCCGGGTCCGAGCTCGACGAGTCTAGTTCGTGCAGGCGAACCTTGTGTCTGCCATTGATTGAGCAGCCAGACCGCGATGAGCTACGTGCGCAATTCAGATCCGTCAGAGTTGGCGAGCTGCAATGCTCATACCTCTCCGAATATCTGCGAAATCTCGGGGCTGGTTACGAAGTCGCCCTTCCGACCAATGACAGCGCTCGTTTCAGCTTGCCGTAGTCGAGTGTAATAGCCGAGCGTCGGATGTGAGAGGCAGAACGCGATATATCGTGGCAGCGTCATTGGTCCATGCGCCTGTGATCAACCGTCAGTCGAGTGACGGTGCGCCGAAGAAAAGTACCTTGATGTGTGATTGTATGATGCGAGCTAGGCCAAGTGGCTCGATACGACGAGCTGTGTCCTGCCCATCGATTTGGTCGCGCGCTGCTTGCTGCTGGAGATTTGACGAGGTCGAAAAGCGACATAGACTTGCTGCAGTCTTGTTGAACGCTCGATGTCTAACGAGGGACCGACATAGCAGCGGGTTAAATGCTCGCATGGTTACTGCAGATCTAGAGGAGATACAACATTGTACACGCCAAGTGCCCCCGGCGTTTGACATCTCGTGACATCATGATCCTACGCGAGCAGTGGCTGCAAAATGCGCCAGGACTGCTTTTGCTCCGATAAACGCGCGCGTGAGCTAGACGCTATCCGAGGACGATCGTCGTGAGCTGGCCTGTCGCGCGGCTTTCGCCTGACGTCTGGCTGTGGCCACCCGACGCAGATCCAATTGGGTCTTGACCAATCGGACCATCATGTCATTGACAGGCGTCGGGATGCCGTGCCGTCTGCCGAGTTTTGCTATGTAGCCATTCATATAGTCACTGCGAAGTGCGTCAGTGAGATCCATTCGATTCGATTGGTTTGCATACATCTCTGTAGTCTCAGAAACATTGCGAATGTCTGCAAGAGTTGATGAGACATTCTTGCGAGTCTGTAGAGCAATGAGCTGGACGTTTGCAAGCAGAGTAGGGCCGGCTAGCCGATGCAGGGGAGGGAATCGAGCGCGATCATACTCTTGCATAGTTTGGAATTCGACGGCGACGTCGCCACGAGTCGCAAAATCTGCAGCAAGCACGCTGCTGAGCTCATCGCAGATATCACTGGCTAATCCATCGAACTGCTCAGAGTCGGGCAGTCTGCCGTTGCGCACGTCAAAGATGGCTGTGAGCGAGTTGATGACGCAATTGACCGCTAACTTCTGTAATTGCAGCATTTGCGATGTTGCTAGGCGATTGAGACGTGGCTGGAGCGCTTGGCATTCCAGCAAGGCTTTGACGGTCTTCTCGAGACTGTCAGCGTCAGGTTCGGTCACTGTGAGATGATCGGGCACGACAGCTGTCTCGATCGTCGGATCCAATGCAGGATTGTTGACCTTGACTTGCATGACCTCGCGAACGGGGTTACTGGGAAGAACGCCGAACTGAAGCTCGCCTTGTGCCGCCCAGACGATGTGCCGATATGCCCTGCCTTGACTGGGTTTCCGCCAGATGCCATGGGTCAAGGTGCCGACGATATAGGAGGGACGATCCTCTGGATCGGGGAATAAGCTGGTATTGATCTCGTCGAGAATGCCCATGCCGTTCTGCAGGAAGACAATGGTAGAATAGGCAGACAGACGGGATCTGAGTGGGTATATGGCCTCTGCTGTGTATTGCGCCTTCGTGGTGACGATGAGCGAGGATATCCAGTCGTCGCGCGTGTGTCGAATCGTCCGACGCAGGGCGTTCAGCTGGGCTGTCCATGCAGGACCTAGCGATCCGCTAGACTGAGTGGCTCGGGCTGCACTTTCACTGGATGGACCGGCATATTCGATCTGCAAACCAGCATAGTCGCTCGTGACGCCCGACTGTTCGACGATGATCGTGGCTTCTGCAGGCTCGTCCTCAGCCGCTTCGTCGACCTGAGCCGTCGTGCTGGCTCGACCCGGTACATCAGCCTGGGACCAGCTCGGGCTAGGCTTGATCGCGGCGAGCTCTTTGACTTGAAGAGGCGTGCGGACGATCAGACGGATGTCATGTAGCGCATTGCTGGCTCGCAGGTTGGCTGCGATGAGTGAGCCTACTGAGCCTGCGCCGAGAATGTGGAGGAGCATCAGATGTACATGTGGTCACGCTGTCCATCTAGGCCGTCCGATCATTGCATTTGCCCGCGATTCGCTTGGACGACGAGCATGCAAGCGCGTCGTCTCTCTCGCTCTTGCCTGTGACGAGTGACCCGCCGGCTGCGCGCTCGAGCTTGAGCCGTCCCCCGTCAATGGCGGTCCTCAAAAGGCGCAACATACGTCTGTCTCAGCTCTAGTGCCATCACCGTCCCCCTCCCGCCGCCAGTATAGCGGCCCAGGCGGGCTGGCAGTATGGCAGATCAAGACAGTCGGATGGCCTTTGATCCTCACACGTTCAGACAACCCGATTTCAGCGTGAGCATCTTCATCGCGGGCCTCACGGATCAGCTCATAGCAGACGCCAAGAACCCATCTTCGAGTCAGTCGATCACATGAGCTTGCAGCAACGACGACTGATCATGCTTGTGAGCAGGCTTGGATCCACAGCCTTTCCTGCAGCTATTCGAGACAACAGTCGATCAGCTCTTACCGTTGAGACGTCAAGTCGCCTCTCAGACGACTTCAATCGAGAAAGCTGTCGCCGCGTCTGAACGAGCTTACTCGCTCAAAGTCAGGGAGCTTAAGGACAACTTCACGGTGAGTATAGCCCAGCCACACGCAGTCCAGGCCTGACGGATCCTCTAGGCTGTTTCTGGGTCATTCGGCAATCTCGAGAAACGCATCTCTGAGGTCGGTAGCACGGCAATACGCATAGGCTCGTTCTGACACGCCTGCCGAGCGCGCGGCAAGCTGACCTACCGCAAAATGCGAACAGGTGAGCAGCTCGAATCGATAGATCGACTGCGCAAGCGCGCTTCGGACGCGCGAGATGTCATACAATACTATCATGACTTCTCCAGAGGCGATACGTCCCGTCTCGATGCTATGCGCAAGTCTGGTCGAGAGGGGCGAGCACAAGCTGCCGTACTCATTCGCAGGCTATCCAGTGTCGCACGAGAAATAGAGGATATCGAAGGCGGCGAAAAGACCTGCGATGCGATTGAAAAGTATTGCGAGGCTTTCGAGAAGGAGGTCCTCAAGCTCTTCGATCGTTACTATCGCAAGGGGGATCCGAAGATGATGGCCCACTGTGCGCGGACGTTACTCGATTTCAACGGAGGCCTCTCATGTATACAGATCTACGTCAATCAGCACGACTTTTTCATCTCAAAGGATCGCATACAGGACATCGGCGCCATTACCCAGAGTGAAATGTGGGACACCCTCCCGGACCCAAATGCACCTGCCCCCTCTGCCGAGCCAGGCCTCGATGACTTGTACCAAGAGATCCGGCTGACGGTCACTCAGGAGGCCCAAATCATCCGCGCTGTCTTCCCAGATCCTCCGGCGGTCATGCAGGTCTTCCTGCAGCGAGTCTTTGCTCAGGTCATACAGCCCTTTGGCGAGCAACTCATCACGACCGCCAGCATGACCTCAACGCTTGCCTTCCTACGCATGCTTCACTTTGTTCATTCGCGCACCATTGCGCTTGTCGAGGATCTAAAGTCTAATGACTTTTTCAAGACTACCACAGATGCTGCCTCTCGATACGCTATCACGGCCAGCGGACAGACATCCGACGCTGCAGCACTCACTGCGCCCGGTACGACGGCGCTCGCTGCAATGCTTGACCAGGCAGTCGAGGAAGTTTTTGTGCAGCATCTCGAAGGTGCAAGATATCTCGATAGAGAGAGCAAGAGCCTCACAGAGCTCTATGCCGGGTACTTGCTGCGCTTTGCGAACTACCATCTTTCCACTCATAAAACAAAGACGACTAATACTCTATTTGACAAGCTAGTTTCTCAGATGACCGCTGCAGCTCAAAGCGCGCACATCGGAGGACATGCTACGACCGAGGAGGATCAAGCGATGCCAGACTCGCCTCAGCAAGGATCTGGCGAGCCAATACGAGGGGCAAAGACACTGTTGAAACTCAGTTCGCTGACCAACAATTTTGGCACCGGCAGCAAGACGCATAGCCTCGAACACTTTTCGCCTGTCGAAGGCGAGCTACGGCTCGATGTGGCAGAGACGATCCTGAAGTGGCACTCTGAGGCGTTAGGAAGGATGGTCGAGCTATCCCCGCCCGCGGAAGTGCCCAAGAATGCACTTGCGCTCATGAAAGTACTTGCAGAAAACATTGGGCGAGCCTACGTCGAGACTTCCCTAAGCACGTATGTTTGCTTTGTCAACAGTCTGGCCTCAGCTAACGGCGAATGCAGAATTTCGACGCAGGTATCTGATCATGAAAGCAAGATGATGCCTGACCTGACTCATCTCTCCACACTACATACCATCGACTTGATCTTACATCTATGGCAACGCTATCTTGCGGTCGCTATTTTGCCTCTGGCGGGAGGCTCCGTGACGGTTCGGAGGGAGATGGCTAGCTTTCAGACTCACGTTGGAATGCGCATCGAAGGCAAGATCAACGAAGTACTGGCCCATCTAATTGACGGGGTCGTGAGCTGGCTAGCCCAAATGCTGTCCAGCAAGCAGAAGAAATCGGACTTTAAGCCCAAAAACGACGATGTCGCCTTCTCCAGGGTCAACACAGAGCCGTGCATAGCTTGTACAGACTATCTAGCGCTCGTGCTCGAGACGACACGGGGCACACTATCTGGCAAGAACTGCGAGACCGTGCTGACTGAAATCGGCGTGTCTTTCCACAGCTTGCTGCTTGATCATTTCAAGCGTTACGTCGTCAGCGCGGCTGGCGGCCTTATGCTCACCAAAGATCTTGCTCTCTATCAAGACAGCATCGCAGCTTTTGGTATATCCACACTGTCAGATCGCTTCGACATGCTACGGCAGCTCGGCAACGTCTTCATCGTGCGGCCCGAAATTCTCAAATCCTACCTTTCGGAGGGACATCTTGCGCGTATCGAGCCAAATCTATTGCGAGCGTACCTCACGCAGCGAAGCGACTATAGTGATTTCCCGCAGAAGACCTGGAATGACATTGTTGGCGCAGAAATCGCCGATACGACTGTTGGCGGATTCGGTCGTCGCATCGGCGAGCGGCTCAACTTTGACTTCAAAATTAGCGATCTCTCGTTCTCGAGCTTAGACCAGTCGAGTGCTTTCAGTCGATCCAAAGTCTTTGCATAGTCTACATCTGCGTTACTGTTGTTGTACATTTGCGTAAAGCACACAACAGGACCGTCATGGGATTACATTCTAATGCTGCTTGCTGCATTCTAGCTGCTACTTGAGAAGAGTACGAAGATCCTCGACACGGCGTTTCGCCAGCTCCGCCTTGGACACTGTCTGTGTCATGCTCAAATTGGCGAGTTCGGTCTTGCGCTTTTGCACGATAAGCATGTTGGCCTCGATCGAATCCTTGATGATGAACCGACTGATCTTGACTGGCCGCGTTTGACCTAAGCGATAGATACGATCGACTGCCTGGTTCTCCACAGCAGGGTTCCAGAAAGGCTCTAGGAGGTATACACGCTGGGCGGCTGTCAGATTGAGTCTGCAAGTCAGTCAGCTCAATGCTACGATTGCAGATCATCTGGTCCGCACCCTACACCGCCAGCACGGAGAGACACGAGTAAGACTTCGCAGTCCGGCTCGAGGCGAAAAGCTTCCATCGAGCGACTACGCTGATCGCGATTCATAGACCCATCGAGGCGTCTGAATTTGATGCCGCATTCCTTCAGCGCATCCTCCGTACTACGAACGGATATCAGCATAGACCAAAGCCTGCGAAGAAGTCCGCACCGATCCAGCAGGGCTGTCCACTGCGAAAAGACGACAGACTTGACGACTTGGCCGCTATGAGGCCTGAAGTCATCTTCCTCTTCAGGGGTGACGGCAGAAAAATCTGCCCCGTCACCAGCATAATTCGCCGACGTAGGGTTGGCTTGCGAAAAAGGGAACAGATCAGCGAGCAAAGCCCGCGTCTTCGTGCTGTGCTCGACCGTGTTATGTTGCTTTCGCTTCTGCTTGTCTGTTTTCTCCCGACTCAAATCCATCTGCCTGAACATGCTGATGAGGTCATCGGGCTGGACTTGCTCAGCGTCGAGGACAGGTGACAGGTCTTGGCTACAGACTGAGCAGGCAGCTCGCGTTTCCGCTTTGACATTGTGCGGGAAGTCAGGCACGGTCTTGCGGAAGCAGGCTATACAGAAGAGATGCTGACACCTTGTCAGGACCGGTATGGGTATCGTTTCGTCTGCGGATGTCGCCTTTATCTTCTTGCCGGTGCGCTTGATCGTCTTTGGTTCTTGCTCAGCATCCTCTGTCGTACCATTCTCCACGTTGGCGAGGAGTTCGCCACCACACTCGGCGCATTGAGCGACGCCATCTTCTCGCATGCTTGCGAACAGACGAAGCGCACGGTCTTTCGTCAGACCTTTGTCAGCAATGGTCTGCAGCAGATCCGTCTTGACGCCATCGGGACCGGCCTCTTCAGAGTCGCGTACGAGCGACATGTGTGCGCAAATTTGTCGTAGGCGCAGCAATTCTTGCAAAATGTGACAGTAGTTCTTGAGTAAAGTGTCGCTCGCTTCTTGACTTGCAAAGTCTCGTTGATACTTGCGATGAAAGGTCGCGTAGAATGCACGCTCCTTTTCATCGAGCTCAAAGTAGCGAATCTCGTCCTTCTTGATTGGCAAACGCAAGATTGGCTGACCATCCTTATCTTTCGTCTCCTTTGTTCGACGAAGCGCAAGGTGACGCATGACGACCTGTAATCGGGCGATGCCAATGGGATCCTGATTCTTGACTAGGCTGCCTATGTAAGTGTTCCAGACGTGTCGCTCAGTAAAAGGCTCTAGTCGCAGGAAGCGGAGCAGCGAAAAGAGGTCATTGAGCGTGTTTTGGAGCGGCGTACCGGTCAAGCAGGCGCGACGAGATGCCGCAAGATCACAGCAGGCGCGCGCTTGTATCGTCGAATGCTCCTTGATCATGTGCGCCTCATCGAGCACGATGCGATACCACTCGACTTGCTGAAGGACACTAGGCTTGCCTTCCGCTTTGCGCTTGCGCTTTCGCGCCTTGGCCTTCTCCTTCTTTGCTTCTACAGCCATGCTTTCGATGATCTCGACGCTGTCATCGCTTGAGGAGCTTGTATCATCTTCGGGCAACCCTTGACGAGAATACTCGGTCGCGAGGATACTATATGTTGTAATGACGATGTCGTGATCGGCCAGATCGTGCGCATACTGTGTTCTGTTGTTGCCATGGTAGATGTAGACTGACAAGCCTTTGGCTTTGGCTGATTTGGCCTTGCCAAATTCTGCACTGCTGCGCTTAGTGTGCTCCGCAATTTGAGACTCCCAATTCTGTACGGTCGATAAAGGGCAGACTATTAGGGTCGCGCGCGAACGAGTCACGAGAGCCTCGAGCCGCGCCGAAGCTAGCTCACTGCGTTTGCCTTGCGCTTCCTCTGCCTTCTTTTTGCGGCGTTTAGCAGACTTCACGCTGGCTGCAGAGCTCGTGCTTGCGACGGGCTGCAATGCCCCCAGTCTCGAAGGGTCAGGTTGTACTGCCTTGATCTTCGTGGTTGGATGCAATGTGACAGCATCAAAAGTGTCATCAGTTGCGTTCGCTGTAGGCTCTGCATTTGCCCATTGGGAGGCCGAAGCGAGCGTGTGAGCAATCAGAGCGATGATGACAATCGTTTTGCCAAGCCCCATGTCATCTGCTAGAATCGATCCGAGGGTCTGTGGCGGTCTGCTAGATTTGTCGACCTCTACATCTGTCACAGCGTTCGTCCAGCCCGTGAGCCTGTTGTATGCGTCAACGCGAGGACGCCACAAAGAGATCATCTGGTCTGCCGTCGAGTCTGGCTGGGCTGGAAGAGCAGGATCCGAGACCATTGTGATCTGACCGTGCACATCACATGCTCTTGGCATCTCCCGGTCAAGCATGAAGGACAATGCTTGTTTCTGATGCGGGTAGAGTGGCGTCACGACAGTGTCGACAGGCTGAACTTCGCCAAGGTCGAGGCCACTCTGAATGCCTTTGAACACATTGTCGATCTGCTCGCGCTTGACTTCTATTGTGCGTGCCGCCTGGGTCTGATTTCCCCGGCCGCCAGCGAGCGCTCGAGCAATGTCCTCGCGTCGCTGTTGTGCCGATCTGCTCGCGTCGAGAGCACTGCTATGGGGGTTGCTGTAGCGAGCGCCTCCATGCAAAGCAGGGTTGTAATCAGTCGGATGGCTCAAAGTCAACCGGCGTTCCGATAGATAGTTGCCGACACGAGTGACGTTGACAGATGGCGTTAGTAGGAGGATGTTCATCTGAAGCATCGCAGGCTGTGCAGCTTATGTCAGCATATAAGGCGCTCAAGTCAGCATTAGACTGACCCTGTCGGCGGGTGAGAGCACCACCCAGGCTTCTGGAGTGACTGGCTCCATCGTAGTGTTGGCTGTCAGCAGAGGCGCCAGCGCCTCGCTGACTTTGACATCCACGACGCCAAAGTCGCGGTGACTGATGCAAGAGATCACCTTGAGCGTCGGCTTGCCGTTCATATCGCGACCGCGTAGTAGTCTGACGGGCAGCAATGCCGGCTTGTTGATAGTCGCACTTGCAGCGGGCCTCAGTTCCTCAAGGTCGCTGTACATGATGAGAACGACGGTCTCAAGCTGACCTATGCAGACGGGACGGACGTCCATGATTACGTCTGGCATGGTGTGAGTGACGCCACTAAATTTGACTTCGTCTGAGTCATCGGAGGCATCATCTGCGGTCAGATCGATTGGTCGTGAGCCCGGCTTGTTGGGACTGCCGTGTGCGCTTGCTCGCTGTGCCATCTGCATTGCGAGGCCGTCCCGTCGGTTCTGCAAAGCGATGAGATGCAATTCGGCTTCATAGGTCTGTTGCTGGTGTCGCGCGTCTGAGGCTTGGACGGTGGGTATGTCTAGCACAGCCGATCTAGGGGCTCGCGTTCGGTCAATATACAAACGGAGGGTTTCGTACTCGTTCGGGTCGAGTTTGCGTCTCTGTTGCGCTAGCATGTCTTGCGTAATCTTGCCGGACGCAATCATCCTCCTAAGAGAGTCGCCCAGCGAACTGAATCCGGACCCCTTTTTCGTCGTCTGCATACCATGTGGATCAAGCGTGGTCTTGGATGTGCTCGCCAGAGCGTTTGTCACGCTTTGGGGCACATCTGATCGTACAGGACTCATCGCAGTCGGACGGTTGCCTGAGTCAGCAAGGGGCTCTGCAGGTCTTGTAGGCCCGACCGGCGGCAGCGTGAAGCCTTGTAGCATCTTGCTGTCTGGCCTCTCAGCGTTCTGGGGGAACTCGCTCCGATGACTAAGCCCGTTGGCATTTAACGGCAATGTATTGAGCCGCGCCGAGCTGAAAGATGGCTCCTGAACAACAGGGGTCGCGCTGCCGGCTGGCCGGAATAGCTGGCCGGTGTCGACTACTTCGAAGCCGTCATCGTCCAAGGGGCCTGTCATGCGCGGCACAGCTGAACGAGCGGCTCGACGCAGCGCCCCGGTCACAGCAACGCTTCGCTCTACAGGAGTCGGGTGGGGGATATACTTTTGACGGGCTGTGAATCACTATGACGCAAAGCGTCCGACGAGGCAAGATCCACACCATACAAAATGCCGTTCGTGATCGACTTCTCAGGCAAGACTATCATCGTCACAGGGTATACACAGCGTACAGCTCCGTCAGCTTGACTCTGACGCTAAGCTTGCAGCGGCAACCGCGGCATTGGCCATGCCATCTCGGAAGCTGCAGCGGAGGCAGGCGCCAACGTTGGTATCATCTACCGCTCTTCAAAGGACGCGCCCAAGATTGCTGAGGAGATCAGCAAGAAGTACAACGTCAAAGCAAAGGTCTGTCTGTATGTCCTATTGCGGGCACCTCGGCTGAGCAATGTGCCTCTTTACGCTCCTTATCGCCATCCACGCGTCATCACTGGCCGGGTTTGCCGCTGCCATTCGGACTCATATCTTTCGTACGAGAAACTGACACACAGGCCTACCAATGCGACGTCGGCGACGCAGATCTCGTCACGAAGACGTTCAAGGAAATTCAGGATGATCTCGGCACCGTTGCGGGTGTCGTCGCAGTATGTTCTCACTCTCTTTCGAGCTTTTCTTCCCTCACGGGCGCAAAAGAATGCTGGCATCGCAGTCGTAAAGCCTGCTCTCGACATTACGCGTGCAGATTATGACAAGCAGATGGGCACCAACGTCTATGGAACCGTACGTGCCTCTGACCTCGGCGGCTATGCCAAGCTGACCCTTGCAATTGACAGTTTGCAGTCTGCCAGGCTGCAGCCCGCACGTTCGTCGACTCTCAGTACAAGGAAGGCTCTATCGTCATTATCGCCAGCATGAGTTCGCACATCTGCAACAAAGGCATTACCCAGACGTTCTACAACGTCTCTAAGGGTGCAGTCGTCAACATGGCCAAGCAACTCGCCGCCGAGTGGTCTCAGTACGGCATCGTATGTCACATTGACATCTTTGCTGGCAAGTGCTGATTGATGTGCATGGTATCAGAGAGTGAACTGTGTCTCGCCGGGCGTCACCAACACAGACCAGACGCACGAGCAGTCTCCCGAGCTGCGCAAGGAGATCATCGCAAATACACCGCTCGGTCGTTATGCCGAATCTTCCGAGATGGCCGGACAGACTATCTTCCTCCTCTCAAACAAGAGCTCTTATCAGACCGGCGCGGAGTACCTTGTTGACGGCGGTTTCCTCATCGTAAGCTTCTCGCGAGATTTAGCGCCAAAGCTGACGCTCAGCATGCCACCGACAGTACTGAGCGATTCGTGCCCATTCATCGACCCACAAAGAAAACATCATCATCATAGCGATCGCCAAATGAAGAAATGCATAATATGCTATCGTCACCCTTCTTGTGCTTGCGCAAAGAGACTGAACAATCGCGTCTTATGCTCTTACAAGCTGTGCAGCCGAGCATATTTTGTCAGTGTGCAGATATATTGATGAGACAACAGCGAGATTAGTTCTTTTGGGTGACGGCGGCACAAGATCCGAAGGGACCGGCAGCAGCGGCATTGCGGCACCGGATGAGACAAGTCTGACCGTCCGCG